CTTTGAAATAGTAAAAAACATCGGACGTTGAGTGTCTGAATGAAAGGTGGACTATAATGGAGATCCTATTGTATATTTTTCATCAGAAATACAGCTTAGTTCGCCACGTCGATGAAAAATGTAGCTTCGACGAGATTAGATGAACTGCAAGTGAAATTTTAATAAAACCTTACGAATTTCACAAGTTGGTAATCGTCAGTGTAATTTACAAAACACGTGTTGTTAAATAAATAGTATTTCTAGTCAAGTATGCCGGATCGAGAGCGACACACGAGGAGCGATTGTCGCGAGCCAACGCGGCGCGTCTGACTGGCAACGTTGATCAAGCGAATTCATTACGTAACTTGATTACATGATTTATACGGAACATTTGTACATAAAGCGTATGGCGTGCAAGGTGTAAAGTGCTTCATAAATCTGCATTCAATCTTGGAGTCAATTCAACGATCTCAGAGATTGATAAATATTGCGTTTGTTACGTACCATACACTCGTCTCTTTATGCATTGAAAACAGTTTGATCTAAATATTTCGTTTACTACCAAATTGATTAGATCAATGGTACAAAGTGGATTTGTAACATGTTGATTCTTCTTCAGAAATTATGGCTTGCTAAAGGTAGTCGATGCAGTGTGAATCCACAGATATTTCAGATACTGGACAGATTGCCAAGTAAGACAAAATTTGCAATTTGTTTATAGAAAATACCTTTCCTTTGTTACTAACCGTATACATTCTGCAATAATCTACTCAATTCATGTAGATAGCAAGAAAATGAGAGTATAAGATGGTTTCGGTAGTCGAAATGCTACGATCCTGTTCGAATGATTCAAAAGCACTTTCATTTACTATGTAATTATTCCATACACGATATTATAGGCTGAAAGTTTTTGTAAATCTAACAATTTTAATTTCGAATTAGAATCTAAATAAAAAGTCATTTTATTCGTCTTCTGTAAATAATTCATTCTTATAAAATAACGCATTATCTATCAAAATTTTCGTGACGATTTTATCGAAACGTTTTCGTACCTACGCGACTTAAATGTTTATTTTTGTCGATAGATGATAGATTTGCAAAAACAAGCAATTGCACAAGAATAAATTTTGTCTAATAAAAATTTTAGTGGATTATGAACAAAAAGAAAACTTTAAGAAAAACCAATGAAGTTTATGATATCGTATTTGTTATAATCGTGTACGCTGTAGAAATGCATATAATTCCATAGTTTAATGAAGATGGACCTGAGACCATTTTTGTAAAAATTATTATATTTATATAATGTAATAGATTGGAACTGTATAAGTACAGTTTTTTGGAAAAGTTTTACTTTTGAAGAATAGTTCTTACATAAAGCACAAAAGTACAATAGAAGGTATGACTATAATTAGGAATATTCGACTGGCAATGCAGTTAAAATAAAATTTTTAACAATTTCCTAAATTTGACCAAAATATAAAGACATACATAAACAAGTCGAACTAACACATAATAGGAACTTAAATGGCGTTCAATTTGAAAACTATATGACATCATCAGTGTTTAATAAATCTGTACGATTTACAATAGAAGATTTGGGATTTTAAGATCGATTGTGTCTTATGTAATGCTATAGTGTATAAATACAATGTATATACCTGTTACTTATATGAAAGATATTTAAGAAGCTGTCGAGACTAACGAGCTATGAATGTTTACTAAATTACTGTGTGTATCAATGATTAATCCACCATTTCTTAAATGAGATAACAATATGATTTAAACTGTAAGTATTTTCCCGCCTTTATGGTTGAGGATCATGCCGTCCGATATTTGAGAATATTTCAGAGACCTTTTTAATTTTCTTGAAAAGAGATTTATATTCGATAACAAATATTGGATTACTCATTAATACACTCAGTACTTAATATGTCTTCAAATGAACGGGTCCAAAAATAATTCTTTTCTAAGGAAAGTCTGGGTAATCCAAGGGAAAATATTTTTGGACACCTGCTAACAGCTTTAGGTTTGGTCCTAATTTCTTTCAACGTCCTGTATATTGTGTAGACATTAAGTAATGGAAACATCGAGTAACAGAGATCTGTAAATTGAAATTTCACTCTCGAAATCCCAGTGTATTTATAAATTTTCATAACAGTAAATATTTTGCAATCATCTCTTGATGCAACGGGCTGGCGCATATAAAATTTTGCTTCTGTGCAGTTCATTTCTGCGATTTAATACGAAAAATTTGTCAATATTTAATTTAGTATTTAGCAGAGAAACGTGTTTTAGAAAATATACAGGGTGTTCCATAAATGTTGGGACACCCTATATATTTATAAGAAAATTAAACAAAGACTTCAATAAAGTGTAATATTATTTATATGTTACTATTGACATAATATTAATATTTCGACCAGATAATAAATTGCTGTCTGATTTTCATTTTTATGAATTAGTGTCTAAAACTGTGAAATTGCGTAAACATCTGCAGTCTACTGATAATGCAAAGGCTCATGCATCAACATTGATGATAAAAAATATTAGAATGTTCAATAGATACTAGTTCATCTTGTGTTGTATTTATTTCTTTCATTGTTTTAAATATGTTTAATTTCTTTTTGAATATTTGCTTCATTCTTCACAAGAAAATTATTCGTAAATGAAAAAGCTATAAAAAGAATTTGGCAAGGACTTCTAGCTTTCAAAATCATTCGTTTTCACTAAATTAATAAAAAGTGAAACGTTTTTATGAAAAGAATAAAAACTACATATAAACCATTCTTATTATGTATAAGAAGTTTAAAGGAAGCAATATTTCTTTGACCTTAAATTGAATGAAACGATATTTTATATGCATCAATCTATTATGTAGCTTCGATATATGTAGTAAAAAAACGAATATGTGGTAAATTCGTACAATGTAGATATTGTATATAAAGCAACTGACAAGGATAATACCTGCAGTGTTAATATTACGATTATTCAACACGCTAATAATAATAATAATAAAAGTGAATAAACGTAGCAACGGAGGACACTTGTAACTATTTAGGATATTGTATAGTAATGAATAATGAAAATAGATTAAGAGCGATAGCGTAATAAAATTACGATATTATTAGATACCTCTACGAGAACTTGTAATATTTTTTTCAATGTAACTGTATTCAATAATATACGAGTTACGATATTACGCGACGATTGTGTATCGAACTGCAAGAGAGTCCTGTCCTTTCATTTTTACGAGAGAAAGAAATACATGACGCTACAAATTTTTACGTGATTTCGTTCTTTACCTTCCCCTCGACCTATCAACTACAAAAGACAACCCAAAAAATTACAATTAACTGCACTACTTAAATAAGTAACAAATCAAATAATTTCAGATTTGTAGATAGTTTCGGAAACCTTTTACGCTTTTTTTTTAATTCAAGTGTGTGTTATTTTTTTTACTTAACAGAATTGCAGACTTTATAATGAACGATAGATTCAGCTTCAAGGGAAACAACAATTTTTTGTTTATTATACCTATATAGAAAATATTGTTGTAAGTATGTTTGAAAAATAGAATAGAAGATTTGACAATGTTGAAAACGTATTTGCAAAATATTGAATATTCTTTTCTATTTACCACATATTTTAAGTTGGTGGGAAATAAATTGTCGATCACCATTGAGGTTTAGTGTTCTAATCCATATAATTTGCATAGATGGACAGAAACGCTGATCACAGTAATTTATTGTACACGGTATAATTTTCATCACTTTACAAAAAGAATTGAAGAAGTAACGTGTACATATTTTTAATTTAAATAGTTATAAGTTACCGTTTAAGGAGATCTGGAATAAAAATGAGAAAATGAAGAGTTCGAATTAATATCAATTATTATGTTTATTTAAAAAATTTATTTTCTGTAACAAGTGTACAAGTTTACACACTTCTTACATTATCGTAGTCCAATTAACAGGTTCTATTTTTATAGACACAGTGCACAGTCCTCGCATACATACAAAATTAACATTCCACACTCAAAATTCCAAATGGCAGAAATTGTTCATTAACTATTTGTAACTGCAAACAATTGCACGCGTATATCTTGCCCACACTTCAATTTTATATTTCCAAATAACTCTTAATAAAATAAATTATTTTTAAACACTTAAACACGAAAGTGTTAATTATATTTATTAACGTAGATTCTAAAATGTTTGATATTTAAGAAATTCATTGCAATTTGTACAATAAATTTAAATTATTCCTATATTTTTCTACTTACGTTTCACTTATAAACACTATTTTTAATTTCGGTGATAATTATTACTAGTCTGCAAGAAGCCTTTACAAATTGATGAGAAATAATACTGCGTCTTAGATTTTCTCTCGAAATGCAGCAATATCGTGTAACTTATATTTAACGAAGGATCAATTTGTAAAGGAAATCGAACGAATGTGAAAGAAGTACGAGATCGATTCGCGAGATCCATCGCTTATTGTTAATTCGAAATCGAGTTTTCAGACTCACGTCATAACCCAAAGACCGAAATATTCGTAGAAATATCGATTAATAATTATATAGGTGAAAGGCTCGTGAAAATGCAAGATTACTAAATCACGATTTCAGTGCTTCAAAATGCTTGATTCTCCATTCAAAAATCAGAAAATTATCTTAATAATGATACAAATTTTTACTGTTTTGTATTCATACTTTAAATAGATAACGCTAACGATGAAACGGGAATTAAAAAAAAGAAATTATCATCTGTCGATGTAAAACTTCAGAGAAACTCATTAAAATCAAATATTCGAATAGTATTAGGAACATTAAAGAAGTCGACGAATTGTTTCAAACAAAACACCTAAACCCAATTTTATGTAAATAAGTTGTATCTCATAAAAAATATGTAAATCTTCTTTACATAAAATTATATTGAGCAGTATAAATTGTCTTCCCTTTTACAAGATATATCGCTCTAACTAATGGGTTTTAAGATGAAAAATGTCAGTGATGTGTGTGATAATGATATGGAATGTTCGACCATCAAATTCTGATGACACATTGCAATAAGCACAGCATTCTCTCTGCTGTTCACAACGATTATTGTTCAGCTCTTTTTCCTTGGAAGCATTAGTGCTAACAATCCCCCAACTGGAATTAAAAAGAAATTACTCAGTAATTTTCTAAAATTAAATGAAATCAAAATTGTTATAGTTCTATACAGGGAGGTCGGGAACTAGTGGTACAACCAGAAAGTGGATGATTCTACATAAAAAAATAAGTCGAAAATGTAGAATAAAATTTTTTCATCCGAGGCTTAGTTTTCGAGAAAAAGGCACTTGAATATTCATCCGAACGAAATGGAATAAATAGAGTAACTGCAACGGTTTCTAGTACACTGCAGTCGTGAAAGAATACCATAAGCTCAAGGATTAATGGTACCGGCGGTCACCTGAGACCACCATAGAAGTGAACGTATTAATTTCGATAAATTGATCGATCGAGACGGTCGTCGTGACAGATCCCATATACTTACGGATCACTAAACTGCCGACCAAGAAAATTGGTACTTCGCAGCTGATGTCGAGCAACATTCCGAAAGCCAAATTGCTGGCGATCGCTCCGACACGGCCGAAGAAGGTCATCATACAAATCGCGACCGCGCCCACGTGCGTCGGGAATATGTCGACCACGATGCTCCCGATTACGAAATTCGCGGTGACGATCATCAACGAGAACACGCAGGTCACCATCAGTATTTGCAGGGAGGACTTGACGAAGTAGATCGCGAAACCGAACACGCCCGCCAACAGCATGGTTGTCACTGGAACAGTAAAACGAACGATGAATGTTCACGAATTTTTGGAAAATATGTATTATGAGCGAATATTGTTATTGGGCCTATGCTGACAGGACGTTTGTAGCTTATTTTAGTCATTACTGTACAAAGACCACAGGAAAAAACATGATAAATCCAATTTTTTATTCTTCATAGCAGATCAATTTTAATCTCACAATATTATCAAAACTGTGGTTTTATTTGGTTTTGGATTAAAAAACCTCTTGAATTTGACTTTGACTTACGTGTCCCGTTAGTTTTTTGCAAAATTTACTGGACTTATCAGCTTTTTCCTCTTGTTGATATAATTAGTCTTTCAAATAATAATCACTCCTTGGGTTATCTTTAAAGTATCATTTAACTTCTAAAATTGAGTTTCTAATATTGAGTTGTCTGTGAACTTCAATTTTACTCTGCTGTTCCACTTAAATTTTTTTTCATGTTATTTCCCTGTTCGTCTGTTTTTAAAAGCCTTATGTCAGATTGAAGTACCCCCTTTTAGCTACTAGATGACAAAAATCAGAAAAACAACAACAATAGTCAATATCATGTGTTTCCCCTATGGTCTTCATATGTTTCTACGTTCTTCTACTCTTTTTCGGAACACTTTGCACAATTTGGCCATGTATTACATGCAAGTATTATACAGTGACACGCTTTGTTCACAGAAGACCCACGTCTATTCGACCAAATTACGTACCAAACACCGAAGTCGATCTCAGACTTCGGAGAAAATCACCAAAGAATGGTACAAATTAAAAGTAATGAGAACACATAAATAGGAATTGCATGAAAATTTGTACAGTTAATTGTTATTTCGAAAGTATGTAAACCGATGTATGAGTCATTGTATATTTTTAATTTACCTGGCATCGTTCGTCGACCAACACGGTTCGCCAGGTAACCAGACCCAATATTCCCGAGCAAGCAGAATGCGTTGATAGTCAGCGAGTTAATGAAGACCATCTCGTCCTACGACGCTCGATGAATCGACTAGAATATTGTTCGGTGAAGCTTGGGAATCGCTTTCGTGCATCAGTCTGCAGACGCTTACGGTACGATTAGGATGCAAGTGTTGATAGTTTTCGAACCGATTAAACAGTTCTGGTAACCATAAACCGAAACCGTAATACCTGGAACGTAATTAATTTTGTCACGTAATTTCGATATTGCCATTTTCATCCGATTTATGTATAAATGCAGGGCTATTTTTTTTCGAAGAAATGAACTTTTTGCTTCAATGTATCGACATTTTTTTATTTTTCAACAAGAATGAACAAATTTTTCGTTTGAGGACAGACAGTATAGACACATAGATTTACACTAAATCCTCGATGAGTGTTCGAAGGCTCCTCAATACTGAACGTTCAATATTTCATAAACTATTGACTAGACTGCGGAATTTATGCAATTTATAACCTATAGGGGTCTGTAAAATATAGTAAAGTACAAAACTTTCATCAGATCCAATCAGGTTTCTAGTTTATTCCGAACCTAATATGATACTTAAGAAAAGAAAGAAATTCCTACGTTTGCTCTTCTGTGTATAATTGCATTAGAAATACATAAATTAAAGATAATAAAAAGATACTTGTTTCATACAGCGAATAAGAAAAATATTTGTGCACTCAAGTTTCTTGTAGTAAATACATATATTCAATAGGATGAAAAAAGAAATAGGTGCCCGGAAATTTTTTTTTAGCTATTGTACCTATCTCTGTTAGAAATTATTTCTCAAGTAAACATTTAACACAAGTCAAAGAACTGAAATACATTTCACGAAAAACTTACCCGAACATATTTGTGAAATAAATGGCCCAACTGAGAAGCGCGTATTTCAAAAGTGGCGGTGACGCAAGGCAACGCATCTGTTGCCAAATCTTTTTCAGCAATTCCTTTAGTACTCCCGATCCAGAAAAGTCTGTCTTATTGCGATTAAGATTTACTGTCTCATCGGGCAATAAAACTTTCACCTAAACAAAGCATGAACAACCATTAATTATTGCATAATTATTTTCATCCTTATCAAAGTGCTACTACCTAAAATTGTATAGTATGGAATTAATTTATTTTACATTTTCATACAAAATTTAATTACTTCTTGTCCTGATCAAAGTTTCAAAAAGAAATTGGGCATACGGAAGTCATCACTTTGAAGAAATTTATACTTTATATGGGACAGTAATCGAACACGTTATATTCAATTTTCATCATATAAAAAATAGTTATCCTCGCGTTCAGTATCGAAGAATGTGCATTACTAATACAATTATAATATTAACTGCTGTTGTACTGTAAGATTAAATATATTGTTATTTTTATTCTTGAAAGTCAAAATGATCACTTACGGGGTAGTCGTCCTCGTGGTTTCCTGTATTTATTGCGTAGATTTTTCGTAAAATCGCCAACGCCTCCTCGGTTTTACCTTGAGAGACCAAGAATTTAGGGCTCTCTGGATATCTGGTGGCTATAAGAGTGACCACTAACGTTGGAACTCCGATAATAGCCAAGAATAGCCGCCAAGAATTGTACAAAATACCGTGAAATTGAAGAGTTATCGGCAATGGTATGATTATCCAAGCTAGCCCTAAAAAAAGAACAAAAATTCCTATGCCTGATACTTTCCAGCAACAAATTTTACTTAAGAACCAGGTGTATTTAGACTGTTGTCGATCATTTTTCATTGTTCTGTATGAGGTTTAACATTAGACAATCTATCTTTTACTCAATTTGTACTTATTTGCACATCTATAATTCTTCTCCAATAGTCAAAGTTCCATTCGGTAAACAAAACTTCAGAAAGATATTTTTAATGTAAACGATATCATTCTTTTTTGTTAAACAGTAAACAATGAATTTATATTAACACATGTGCAGTACTATCCACCCCTAAAGCTGTGCACCCTTTTTTTTACAATACCCAGTATAAGATACTATAAGAAGACACTGCACAGGTGATGACACTATATTACTAAAACTGTAGTCACACTAGAAGCTTGTTACAATGTTTGTTTAATGATAAATATGCATTTTTTATATTACGTTGATACGACATTCTTCACCTTATGTAATGTAAGGGAAAGATCTTCTACCATTTGGTTTCGGAGTTACTGAAATTTATGCCAAATTAATATTCGATTTAACATTTATTTCAGTATTTGAAATAAATTTATCAAGCGGTAGGAGGCCCTTACCCCTACATTGCTTTTTCCCCTAGGGAAAGTTTGTGCGTCAGTGTACTTATAGGGTACAATTATGGTATCTTATACAGTTATCTTATTATTTATCTTTTCCACTTATTTCATTTGTCGTATTAGTTATTATTTATCTTTTTACGCCAGAAAAAGAAAGGTTTTTCAAGTCTAAGGGTGTGCTGTATTAGATGTACTTCTCTTAAGAAGACCATCTTCTTAAGCGACACCCTGTACATAAACCGACTCTGTATACCAAACATACCAGGTAAAATTAACCAGGAAAGAGTCCAGAAAAATCCAACGTAACAGATAGTCTTCACCCTCTGTTTCTCCGCGTGGAATTCACCGAGGTATGAGTAAATCAACGAGCCAGGAGCTCCAATGCTGCGAAATAAATGAAAAAATAGACAATTACAGAAATTCTTAAGGATGACGATACTGTACGGCATGAAGAAGAAATAGTGTAATTGAAATACTTACAAAAACCCACTAAGGGCTCGAAAGATTAATAGAACTTTGAAGCTTTGCGACAGACTTCCACAGATCGCCAAAATGCTGTCGCACATCATAGTTAAGAGGAGAATGTATCTTCTGCCATAGGCGTCCGCGAATACTCCCCAGAAAAGGGCGCTGATAACTCCGCCTGAGGATTCCGAAATTAGGGTGATAATTAGGAACCGAATATATAAATATTAGATACCACAGAACTGATAACAATAATGATTAATCATCATGGAACTTAGAATTAATGATTATTCATTATAGAATTCAGAATTAATAATTAGTCATTAGTCATTATAGAACTTATAATTGATAATTATTTATTATACACTAATCACGATATTCATGATTATTCAATAGAACTCATAACAATAAAATTATTAGGAATAGTGATCAAATTCTACATAGTTCGACGTTTTAGACTGTTCTTTAATTATATCAAAACTTCCTTTGAGTCCTTATTGTCAAAAATGTATTGTGTTTTGCACTGTGAATCATTATGCAAATGTACACCTTTACAGATTAAATGTACAATAGGGAAAAACAGATGCACCATTACTTGCAAACTACGGCAAACTTTCCTGTATACTAATCTTAATGACAAAGTTAATCGTCAATAATCGCGCGAATGGCGAGTGGGATGTCATATAAAAACTGTTCTTCAATTTTCCTAATGAAATAAGTGCTATCGAACGTGTCTAATACGTTGCATTTAATGTGCACTGATCGAAATGAAACGTGTTTCTCGACGATGCTGACCGGGATCATTTTGGAAATTCGATTTCTGAATTACTTTTAGACATGTTACACTTCGAAATTAACATTTTCCATAAGATGTATCACTAGAAACACGAGAATATTTACATACATTACACTGGCGACGAAAGAGTATTTAACACGTCATGAAATTATATGAAAAAAAACCTTCAACTTTCAAATAAAAATATTTACAATCCTGTAAATTGCATTACTATTACAACCTTGTAAATGTTAAAAATTCATATCTTTATATCTAGTCAACTTTAATCCTCTTTTTCTTGGAAATCAGAACTCTATAGCCACTTCAGTATTTGTTTTTGTATTTCCAAACTCTCTACCATTTTTAAAGATGAAGAGGGCAGGAAGGTGCTTTGAATTTAAACTGTCAGCAGTTTATTCAAAAGTATTAGTAGACTACTTATTGATGTACCTAATAATTCAAATATGGTATACTAATGACACAAAAAAGAATCCACAAGCCAATGCGAAAATATTTATTTTTTTAATATAAAAACTTTAAACGAATGTATTTTGTCGCGACATTGTCCTAAGAGTATAAATTTGGACAATCGATTTATGTTTATTAAGAGTTTGTTGTTTATTTTAACAAGATCTATGAACCGATTTAGTTACCATTATACTTTTAGTTAAGAAACACTCTGTATAATGAATTTAGGAATTTGAAAAAATTCTTCTTACCCACGAGGAAGGAGACATTCAAAAGTCCTTTTTGTTCGGAGGACAGTTTGAGATCACATTCTGCGGACGGTAAAATGTACGCGTTTATGCCGTTCTGACATCCAACGCAGAGAAACATCGCGCCACAGAGAAGTAGGAAACCATAATGAAACCTTCCGTATCCTGAAAATGAGAAAATTGATTTAACATAATATCAACACCACAGAAAAATCGTTCTACGGTAAGTCAGCGAAGAATTAAAGTGACTGTCAATTAAGTTACCAATTTAGAAATTTAATAATCGATTACATATAATTTCAAAATACAATTTAAAAATGTTCAATGAGTATAAATCATGCAGACGATTATATAAGGAAATTAGTATGTTGAAACTGAAAAACGAAAATAATTCAGTAATATTATAAGTGATAATTTATCATTTTTATAACTGTAAATCGTTATGAATGACAAATAGAATTTCTCACTGAAAAGTGCACTGGCACGAATAATGTTTGAATAAATGTTTATGAACACGTCTTACCGCATAGTTTAATGGCCTTTTCGAAGTCAGCAGTTCCTTCTTTATATCCATGACTATTTTCTGCAAACAAATATATTAGTTCCAATTAATCATCCGTCATGTGAATTTTATTTCGTTCAATTTTCTATATATGGAATAGAACACTATGATCCAGAATTCTTAGTGGTTATACCGAGTTGCTTTTAATTACTATTAGCACAATCAAGATAGTGACACCAGCAATTGATGGTAAATGCACTATAGGTCGATTATATTTGTCTTTACGAGAGGTCGAGATAACGTTAGTTAGAAAATTGTTGCTCAGGTTCGAAAAAAACGTTTAAATTGCGATAACTAACGAAATGATTGACTAGGAAAACATTTGATTGTACTACAAAATTCTTGATTTGTGAAACGAAATACAACAGAAAGTTTGATTTTTTTTACTTTACAATTGATGAAGATCTGTATAAACGAAATAGATTAATATTTCATTATTTAAATATAGATTTGTTTAGTTTGAATTATATTAATTTAATTTACAAAATGAATCTTTTAGGAATTATGTTTATTATATACTATTCAAATATTTTTTTTAAAACCAAACGGGTAATTTAATTACCTTTTTTTTGAAGTTAGTCACAACTTCGAGAATTATCGCGAAGATGAATTAAATTAAGACATTCTGTATTAAATAAAACGGATTACTAAGAAAAATTTAATGTTTAAGAATTTACACACTAGTATTATAAAAATAATTGAATATTGTTTTAAATATAATGTCACATCATAAATGAAATGTTGCAAAGTTTAACAGGCCCGATAAAGTGCGAACGTTCAAAATTGTAACGTTAATTCTAATTTAATTAGAAATTTATTAAATTATAGACATACAAAATTTAGACATATATTTCATTCCTAATTACTGAAAACTGTTGTTAATTACTTAATAATGATAATTACCAAATAAAAGTTGATATTGGCACAATGTTGATTATACGGAAGATGACCGTATAGTAATACATAATTAGCAACACTTATCTCATAAACATACAACACTTTTCCATTTCAAAAATATTTCAAAGTTACACTAATAGAATATAAAGAATAAATTTTTAGTATCTCCACTGTTATTTTACAGGCATATCAACGTAATAAAAAAAGAATTGTAGATTCAACTGCATACATCCGTCTTTTATAATAATAAATCAAAGTTAAGTAACAATTGTAATTGTTTTAAACATTTCTTTTGCTGTTAAAACGTCCGATTTCAGCGATGAGTTATGCGACCACGTTAGTTTCAGATAAAATTCATAAAAAACGCGGTCCGTAAACTATCAGAGAGAAGCTTTGGGCGTGTCGGTCGATGGTCGCGCGTGCTTTTCCACTCATTTCTGCCTTGTTTACGCGTGCTTTTCCATTCCACCGAACTGAAAAACACCTGACCGTCTAAAACGTAAAATCTAATTTCACAGACGCACACGGTCCCGACAACGAGTTGGTACAAACGCGTTTACACTTCCGTGCCTCCGAAGATCCCTTAATTGCACGATCAGATAACAATAGTTTGCCACGCTGCAAGAGTCAGTCCCGTGGAGCTACTATCTTTAAACTTATTACCAGGTATTACGAGAATGTCTGTTCAAGCGTCACAAATTATTTACTATTGAATTATAAGGAATACAGGTATTCCATAGTTATTGGTTCGTTAAGATTATTGTTGTTATAATTTTAATTGATTAAACATATTACTTCACTTTAGCCACCTTAAAATCGGTAAACATGGGATCAAGGGACTTTTAATTCGTTGGCAAGAGAGTTTTGATTAGGTTGATCTGCTATGAAAATCTTCTTTTCAAAATATCTTATACTTGTTTAAACTATGCAGTTTGAAAATGACGTTTATTATAGAACATGCTAATATTACCTCGACTCGATTACAACATTGGCTCGACGTAATTCAGATGGTAAAGTAACAATTTGCTTAAGGTAGCTTCCGCGTTTTGTGTCGTATTTAGCTGCGGCTCCATATGGTGCTTTATACTTTTTATCAATTTCTCCAATTTAATTTGAATGATTAATATTTTAAACTACTTCAAAGTTCTTAAATAGAAAATAATTTATACCTAAGTGAAAAAAATTGGAAAGTTCGTAGAACAAAGCAAAAGAAAACAAACGACGTTGATGCTCATAGCAGACATGCGTAGAAGATTCTACCAAACGCATTGAAACCTAAATTTGCATATTTTGATCTTAATGTTTAGTTCTATTTGAGCGTTAACATTTTTTATTTGCGTTAACAATAACCACCTAATTTTTTATGAAAATGTCATTTTTTTGTAACTAAATAAGAAGTGATTAACTTATCAGTATCAACTACAGTTGCATAAGGCTCGTGTTAAAAAGACATTTTTATAACGTTTATTTTTCAATAATTTTATCGTTGACCTTGTGATGCTTTGGTAGCAGTCGAAGGCTGAAGCTTTTAAGAATGTTCTGTTAAATTTTCAACTAAATTTATTATTATTAAAAATTTGCGAGAACCGCCTTAAGCATATTACGAATTAGACTAGATAGAAGTGATCTAGTTTTTGAATTTGTTGCGTTCGAAGTTATGCAGCTTCGTTAATTTTGCAGATATCAAGTTGAAATTTTCAGGGTGCCTTGTTTCTTTGCATTCATGACAATGAAAGGGTTGATTTATTTGCTCGCTCATTACTAGACTGCAGCAGTTTATTTAAATTGAGAATTTCGAATACTAGTATCTAAAAACTCAAATTTGACAGAATTTTGAATTTTCCACTAAAGGCTTTACTGCGTTAATAATAACACACAAATCGCATGGAACTTTATTAAAATCTTAATTTTATTGCATGTTTCAAGCTAACGGATGCTATAAATGCGTAATACAACGAGAATGACGGACATATTAGCATTATGAACATATTTAAATAATTTTTTAAGAATAACAACTTGTTTGAATTTCTTTAATTTTCTCGAAATCATAATAATGTAACGGTTATGACGTACATAAACGTCAGCAGTGAAAAATTCGTGCCACAGTGGACTGCACTGTCAGCGACGAACCATAACGTTTAAGGGGTTAATGTCGACTGGTACGAAAAATGTGCCGTTTTACAAACAATTTCTTTTACGGTACTAAGTGTTAATAGTTGTTCAATAATCGTTTGAAAGTCGATTAAAACAAAACGAGGTCGACCTTTATCGGTCGATCGTTGGTGCACCTAACGTAAATCGTTTTCAAAAAACGATAGGTAAAGGAGATTGCAACAAAATCAACCATAGGAATTACGTCAACAACGGTTCATACGTGGATACGTAAACCAATAAATGAAAGGGTAATTAAGATGATAATTATGCCAACAATTGTATCTTGACATTTCGGCGGGTTTTGTTGTGCATCTGCAGGAATCGGCTTTTGCATAATTTTTGTTTTCAGCGGTGCAGGATCGAATCGACGAACAAAACTGTCGCGGCGATGATGGAAGGAAGTATGTAATTATTGCGAGTTCGGTAACAATTATCCCGAGCACGTTTTGTTGGATCTTTGATCTACGAAGACACGCGCTGACAGATGTCGTGTTGTTTCGTGGTGCTCGAAAACGAACTAGCTTGATGAAACTCGAAAACAATGCGCGCCGGAAATCTCGAAATAGCTTTCGAAAAGAGGAGGTTTTGATTATTATAATATTAATAGGTCACGATTAAACTGTGAATTTGACGTATTTAGAGCATATAATAGCAATAATAATAATTATTATCATGTTTTCATTATTAATTATTGCCTGAAACAAAGTTTTTATAAATCGTAATAAAACGAATATTAACAGTAAGGTATTGATAATATTTCTGTCTAATAAATATAATAATATACGTTATTGTTCTTTAATATTGTACACCATTTCTGTCTAGCAAAAGGGCGGGAATATGGGTTGAATTTGAACTGAATTAATTTTTTTTTTAACTGGTGGAATCCTTATTGATATATCTAATACAGTAAATTAAGAACTCTTGTAATTTTCAATATATTATTATTTAATATTCAACCTAATGAACGTGTTAGCAGAACGGACACACTTCTGTGTAATTTGTGTTTTCATAAACTGAAGATACATAGATATTAGGAATAGGAGAATTTTTTGGATTAACTTTATTTCTTGTAAAAAAGGCTATTACCTCGCCGTACCGATTCTTTTGCTAAATGGTGGAACGAAATAAAACGTTTAAGGTGGTAATTTTTACGTGTAGATTCCTAAATTCCTAATCTATATCCCTAAAATTGCTGTGGTAGCATCTCAGATATTTTTATTTCGCTTACATGATATATTCATTTGTCGATGTTCGAACGGCTTAATTTTTGCAATAAATTGATGACAAACCAGTATAATTTCAAATAAACACCCCTCCTTGAAATTTCCGTAGACTGTCACTCTGTGCCAACTTCGTAGATTTATCAACTAATACCTCAAATTTGTGTATTAGGTGTACAAATTAATTCATGGCCACCACAATTAATTATTGACTAAAAACTGCCATCATTTTTTCGAGAGGGGATTCACCAAATCCTCGAAAAATGGCGTAAATGTATAGAAAATGACGAGGGATATTTACAAAAATAGACTGTAATTTGGTTTTCTTTCTAAATAAACAACAAATTTACGAAAAGAAGGCCACGAATTAATTTGTACACCTAATACATTTTGACGTTCATTCGATTCTGTCTCGTCTTCTGTCACTGTTGATTTATTAATCATTGAAAATTCAACCAATCGAACCGTTGTTTAAAAAATATACTCGGGTAATGTCAATTTACACTAATAATAAAATGTAAACGAAGTACTGTATCCAGAGATGGGATAAAAAGTACTTTTTCATTTTTCTTCGTTTAACCGTGGAAATTGCAACTTTTATAATACAACAATTCTTTCTCTTGCGTGACTAGATACTGGGCAAACAATTATTTAATCTCATTAACTGTTTGAAACTCAGAATGATGCTCTTAGGTGCTGCAGCTTTTCAGTATGTATTATTCGAATATACTTGTGCCCAACTCTGACTGT